CGCATTTCCCGATCTAGTCCAGGCTGTCCCTGACGTCAAGATCCTTTTGTCTTAGCCTCCAGAATACTAGGATACAAGTGTGTACTACCTTGCCCGATCTCATGGTTTTTTTTTTTTTTTTAATGTTATTTTTATTTATGTGTGCAAGTATACCACCTACATGTAAGTGTACCAGTGTTGAGCAATACCCATGGAGGTCAGGAGAGGGCATCGGGTTCCCCTGGAACTGGAGTTATAGATAGTTGTTAGCCCTCATGTGGGTGCCGGGAACTGAGCCCAGGTACTCTGCAAAAGTGGCCAGTGCTCTTAACTCCTGAGCCATCTCCCCAGCCCAATCCTCATGTTGATTTAATGGAGACAAAGCATTTTTATTATGTTTATCAAAACAGTCAATACATGGAATTAATACATTGTCCCTTCTTTCTTATTATCTAATCAAATTAAACTTTTATTCCCTAGAGCAGTAGCTGGGCATTCAGTATAAAAAGTCCATCTTTATAAACCACTTTATACTAAAATAAGACTAACTAGAAGAAAGAAAATAGATTTAGAGTCAGAAAACTTAACATCTGGTAAATTAAAGCAAATATAACATTGCCATGAGAAATTATCAAGAATACTCATATGCAATATCTTGGACTACATATCACAAGTGTAAGTTTGATTTAAAATGTTCAATATAAAACAACATATATCATATGACTCTATTGTATTTCTTTTTATCATAAAAATAATATTATTCATACTTAAACTATTAATATATTATATTATACGGAATGTGATGGTTTTGTCTCTTTGTCATTAGTAATGTTTTAGGCAAACTAGAGAGAAGATGTCAAAAAATGTGTCTATGTACCTCTGGAGGCGAGCTCTGGAATGGAGGGTTCCGTTAGGTCACACTTAAGTTACTACTGAGAAGATAGCTGAATGTGAGCTCTGCAGCAGTCACGTCACATGGTGGGCAGTGGGCACCTTCCCCTTCCCCTGGGTGCTTCAGGCTCACTGAATTCAATGAGTGTTAATGCTGAGCCTGCTTCAGCATTAGCTCTGCTGCTTCATGTGTGGTTTCTTTAATGGGAAATTTTGGCTTAAAGATTCCACAAGGGCGACAATATTTTCCAAACTCTGTTTTACTCTGAAACTCTTCCTGTCCAAGATTCCCTTCTCTCTTTTTTTTTTTTTCACAGTAATCAGAACTGAATCCCAGTCTATAAGTCCCTCTCACTTCTGTCCCCTCTCCCTTATACTTTGAAGGTCTTTACCAGAAATCGTTTGCAAATCAGATCCTTTCATCTTATCTTAGTGTCTACTTAGGAACAGGAATTGATATTCGTTTGCTGACAGTAAATAGCAAACTCTTCTGTATTTAAAATGGACTCTCCCCTTTAATCTGGAGGGAACATCTATCCATGTTCATCTATCCATGTTCCTCTCTTGACCGTCTATCAAGATAATCCCTTTACCTCACACCCAGGTTTTTCAAACCAGCTAGCAGCAGTTCTACAGACTAGGAATGGCCTTCAGTATCCTAGTGTAAAACAACCTAAACCTCTCTGCTTTGAACACACCCACTGAAAAAAGACTGGTTCATTTTTATTGCAACCCTAATCACGGTGAGATAAGTTAGTGATCATTAACCCTCGGCACTATCTGAATGACAGAGAAGCCATTGTTCTGCAGGAGTTAAGACTCAGTCTCTCCTTAGGTAGCAGTGTCATTGGGCAGATATAAGTGTCTATCACAGACTGTTACACTAAAAGCTCATCAGTTTCAAAGAGTTTAATTACATCCTTGAATAGTCCCCCAATACCAATTTATTCATGATCTTCATAAAATTGTGCATAATATGTGCATTGTATACATTTCATCCTAAACAACATGATTTTACAGTTTCATAAATACACCCTTTCTCTTCATATCCTCAAAGTACAGGGTACAATTTTAAGTT